GGACCAAGCTTTTTGAACAACACGGAATGAGAGATAGGCATACATTTATGCACGGCTAAATAAAACGCAAAAAAAAAAAAAGTTTTGCATGAAATAATTCTCATACTAAGTACTTTTGCATGCACAGCAGCACAGAAACATGACAAAACAGTGACACAGCAAAGACGAACTGCTGCTCTTGCTGTTTTCAAAAGACGCAAATGAAGATGCAGCTGTTTGTCTGCATTGCAGACAACCATATCCAAATCCATATCGATAGACAACCATATCCATGCTGGCACATAAAACCTAAGGATGTTCCATATTGAATCTAGTTTCGTTATGTAACTATTTATAGTATAGTAAATATTTATATCTATTTTTTACTGAGGATTTGCACCATGTTTATTTGGACTTTATTTGGACTTTGACACATTATTTATTATTTTCTTATTTTTATTTGTTCATTGTAAGTGGTGTTGTTTATAGTAACTAAAAATATATTATTTGGAAAAAGTCAAATTTGCTTCACTGTTCTATTATTTTGTAACATTTGTAACATACCGTATACCGCGAAACCGTCAAACCGTGGTATTGTTTTAGACGATTATCATACCGTGAAAAATTCATACCGTTACAACCCTAGGTAACAGTATGGATAGCTTGTAACCTCTCCTGAGGTGGTACAAAAAAAGTACTAGGTTTTTAGGTATGTACTGTATATAGGTACTATGGTAGTAGTGTAATATTAACGCTCCAAAATACTGGTGGTGCCACTATAGTTTGTAAGTTTGTAGTTCATAGTCACTAAAATGCTCACACATTCGTGAAACAATAGTCTGTAGTTAGTATAGTTTTCTTTAGTTTAATAGCCCTTTAAGGTTGCAAAACTGTAGAATTTGTGCCTTTTATGGTAGCCTATTGCACGTTTTCTGATGCTTTAGTTTAATCACACATTTAAGCTGGTTCATTTATTTTCTTGTCAATATGATTTAGTAGCTACAACAACCGAGACAATCTCTTAAAAAGAATGACTCAAAGTGACATTTTTAATTACTTGGGATTGTTGCCTAATAAAGGTCAAAATAGCAACAGGAAACATTCAAGCAATTTTTGACCTCCTCATATAGCCTAATTTTGTATGACAAACTCTTGTTAAAAATTTCATTTGGTATCATTTGTATCTTTATTTTGATTTATTTTTTGTTGGTCAGTTATCTACAAAACAAACAAAAAGAATGAACACATTTTAGGTAAAGTGGGGTGCAAATTTTTTTTTTTTAAGAATAAGAGAATTATTAAATAAATTCAAGTAGGCCTATTATAACATAAAAAAAATAGTGTTTCTGACAAATTTCTTTATATGTTGAGTTAGGAATTATAGTATCACAATACTACTTGATATCATGATGCTTCAGCTGTTATAGCATTGTAAGATGAATTAAACGGTATCCTGACAACCCTACTAGGTATAGAGAAAGATAGAAAAGACCCTTAACACTAGAAACTAACGCCTCTCTCATTTTGAAATTTTTTTTTTATTTTTGCAGTTCAATAACTTTGTTCAAATAAAACATGTCTATAATTCCCAGATTTTTCCTAATTATGCATATATTTCATTCTAACGTTGTCATTTTATTAAAAATACAAAAAACAAAAAGTGCTATGAGTATTTATAAATTTAATTATCATCAGTCAAAATGGCCGCATACATTTCGGTGTCTGCTACTTTTCCCGTTGACTTTAAATATGAGTGCCTCTTTTGCCTTGTAACTTTCTGTTGACAATAACATGACTTTGCTTCAGATATGTCTTTAAAACAGCATATTCAGTGCAGTGACAAAGCCTTATCCCCTGCCTCTGGAAGTGAAAATGAAAGTGAGGTGTGGACATTGGTGGGTGGTCTAACATAAACTAACTATACATTTATAGGCTGAAACCTGCTTGTAAAACATGTATTATTATAGGTGATGTAATTTCTTAGTTGGTATTAAATAACTTTTTGAAATCTTTTATATAATAGCTAATCGAGTTCATTGTAATATACCAAAGTAACACAATAATGTAACATAAGAAAAACAAAACGTATAGCATTTGTAGCATAACACATTTATCATTGTTAATATTAGTTAAAGCAATAAAGGTGATTTCAGATAAGCTAGCAGTTGTTAAAGTTAAAGACTGTAAGAAATACACATCACTGAAGAAAAAAAAACATTACAGTTCAAACAGATAATATTACAGTAGCAATATAATTAGGGTGCATGTCCACCAAAGCCTTTTATCTTGAGGCCTGTAAATTTTTTCTGCTGTTTTTTTAAGAGTGCACGCCAGCACAGTGACTAGGCAGTGTTTGTCTGGCATTTGTAAACACTTGCAGTTGAAGAATGTTCAACTCTTCAGTTAAATGTAACGTTTTTGGAAGAGCACATGCTTTTTCACCTGCTTCGGTGGACACATCAGTCTGTATAGTGGAAGCACATTAATGACGTGACCTGTTTGAGCGAAAGACGCACACAGGTATACAAATCCACATCTTGACAGGCATCCTATTGTTCAGATTAAACATTCTGATATGATTTTTTTTTTTTTACCTGAGACAAAAGCTTAACAGGTGCATGTCATGGTCTTCACATAGGGCTTCAGTCACATGATCTTAAATAGAGTCCTTAAGTTAAATAACGTTTTCTGTGGCATTGCCGATTTAAAATTAGCATATAGTGTGACAATACAGAGAACATGGTTTTTAGTGACGAAATATATCAAGTTCCTAAGTTTTTATAAATATGTGGATACGAAAAATGACATTTACTATAGCCACTTTGTCACAAAACAAAAATATTTAAACAAAATATCGATCTCATTCATTTTCTTGTCAGCTTAGTCCCTTTATTAATCCGGGGTCGCCACAGCAGAATGAACCACCAACTTATCCAGTAAGTTTTTACACAGCGGATGCCCTTCCAGCCGCATCCCATCTCTGGGAAACATCCACACACATTCACACACACACTCATACACTACGGACAATTTAGCCAACCCAATTCACCTGTACCGCATGTCTTTGGACTGTGGGGGAAACGGGGAGGAAACCCACGCGAAGGCAGGGAGAACATGCAAACTCCACACAGAAACGCCAACTGAGCCGAGGTTCGAACCAGCGACCCAGCGACCTTTTTGCTGTGAGGCGACAGCACTACCCACTGCGCCACTGCCTCGCCCATATTGATCTCTTTATAATAAAATAAACATGAGTGTTAGAGGCTTGACAAATAAAATGTGTCAATTAAATTACAAAGTGTGTGCAATGGTAAAGGTTGATCAACATCTTTAACGTGTCACTAATAAAAATACAGTAAACCCCAAATTATGTAAACAAAGCAATTTATGATAATTAAATCTGAGCTTTCAAGTAAAGGAACCAGCCATCATTAGTCAAGAACATATCGCAACATAACAAATTGTGATGTTGGATGACTATATTACACCCTATGCTAAAAATCTTTGCAGACAGGGTCCTAGTGGCTGGGATGCACAAGAAAAGAAACCAAAAAGCCACTCTGGCGAAATCCTTACATCCTTTTTTTTATTTACAATCTCCTCACTCCTGATATACAACACTCATTTTCGCATGTGTTGTTATTCTGACCTGAAGTGACAAGTGTGAGCGCGTGGATTCCTTCACCATTTTCTATGGTGCCTCTCGTAACTAGGCGACCATCAAATCATTTTCTCAGTGGATAACAAATGAACAAACCATTGCTGCAGCTCCGATGCAAGTTTATGGAAAAAAGTAAAAAGTGCAGCAGTGTTTGGAGGCACTGTGCGCTCATTCAGAAAAGTTCAGATGTTTTTTAACAAGGTGTACCTGGAAAATACGCACACGTCATGTGTGCACCACTTGCAAACCGTGTGCACATTGTGCAAGTTGGTGCTAAGCAGCCACATTTTAATAAAATTATAGCCTTTATACAGAACTTTTTTTATCGTAATTGTCAAAGGTGTTCAGTCAATAATGACAGATACCGATTTTATCCCCCAGCCCTAGGTTAAGTTAGACCTGGGATTTTTATTTTTTATTTTACAAAATAGGATTACTATTACTAGGAGTACTATTTATAGGATTGTATATTATTGAACCATAGTTGAGACAGTCACTCCGCAGTTTTAATAACAAGAGGCCCATGGAAGACCAAGAAATGGCATTTTATGACAATAAAATTTATATTCATTTTTGTCAAGTGTGACAATGAAAATGGAATAACACATCTACAACACACACACAAATACAATTACAAATATAATACTTTTACATACAAATAAACCAACTCACCTACCCTGCCTCAACCTACTGTTTACCAGAGCTCTATTTTGCTACTAAACCAGCCAAAGTAGCTTAATATCTTGATAATACCATAAATCTTAATAAAAGCTTCAGCGATTGTCATATACCTAGCTATGTCTGTTATTTCCTCTAGCTTCAGGTCAGTGCTGCTGTCTTATAATTTAGTGAAGACAATGATGCATTGATTTTGTATGACATTTGAGAAACGTACATGTTTTCACCTGTTGAAGCCGCTGGAATTCGACGAGATGACAGTAGCAGAAGATGAACTAACCCGCACTTAAAAAGAAGAGCGCAGTGGGGGTTTTATTGTTTTTGTGTGTGTGTGTGTGTGTGTGTGTGTGTGTGTGTGTGTGTGTGTGTGTGTGTGTGTGTGTGTGTGTGTGTGTGTGTGTGTGTGTGTGTGTGTGTGTGTGTGTGTGTGTGTGTGTGTGTCTGTGTTTCACAGCGCTGCCTGGCTCACACTTCTCTATGCTTTTCTTGTAAACAACAGTCTTGCTATTGGGGTGTGGGAGATTAGCTTTCTATCAAGGCTTAAAGTAGACCTACCATGATGGGAAGAGGAGAAGACTCACAAGTCTCACCTAGTGGTCTTTGTTCTGCATGGTCATGTCTGTTTGTTTTGTGATTTCTGCATCTAAACTCCTCTGAACAAGCCTGTTTTGATTTCTTGTAGGGCAGCGGCCTGTAGTTCCAGTCATCCCAGGCCTACGGACAACAGTAAACCGAAGCAAAGCACAACAGGACACTGGTAGGTTCTGCGGCCTTTCTTCTTTGACTGGTACAGTAGCTCAATATATGTCTGCTGCTGTCTGACACTATTTGTTCACTGTTGTTTATATTTGTTTCATGTTATTTTTATTGATTAAAAAATGCTATTTACTTCAATAATTTATTTAGTGTCTATATCAGTATGTTTGGTAGAAAAATGAAATCAGAAAAGCTGAAATCTATTTTAAAAATAATTGAAAAGTCGATACTTTCAGTATAAAAAATGTGAAAATATGCTTTTTGTTCATAATGGCAGATTGAAGCTTGGATATCCTTAGCATTGCCACTTTCAATGAGAATATTTCAGCTCAGATGGGCTAACAAATAGGGTCACATTCAGTGACACAGAACCTTCAGTACTCTTGCGAATCTTCTTGGATGAGGTTGTCTAGTGTTGGAAAGCCTTGGTATAAAAGGCATCTTGTCTTTAGAAGGAAACAGGAGACGAACACATTCTCTGAATTCCAGCCTACTGTACTTCTGGCTAAAAAATGTCCCCGTTCCCTTTAAACGCAATTCAACACCCTTTGAGTCTAGACTAGCAAACTTTGCTTCATAGTCAGGGCTGTGCATAACGTTCTGATCCACTTCTCTAAGGAGATTTTGCTCGGTTCTCATACTTTTATATTCCACTGCCATCTTACATGCTTTCATATTCATATAAACACCCATTTTTTTTTTAATATTTAAAAAAAATAGCTTATATGTTTGAAATATATGTAGCTTGTATGATTTTTTTTTAAATATCTTTGCAATCTAAACATGAACTTAAATATTTGTTTAGCCTATATTGCCTTATCTCAGATTTCTATATGCGGGCCTGCAATCAGCTGAGTTTGTGCAGTTCTCACGGTTGGCGGTACACAATATGAGCACAGGAGAAACCCTGATTGCCACCATCTGAAGTAAAATGGGAACCATGCCACTGTAAACTCCATTGTTGACTGCAACGCACTCTATACACACAAAGACCAACTTAATTTAAATTAAACACAAGCATGGCAAAGTTGCACCAGCCTATGTGCTGTCCCTGTGTACAGCGTGTTTGAGTTACATTTAAATGAATTAAATCTGAGGAAATTAAGGTTTCTTAATTCCAAGAACACGGAGAAGGACTTCTTTTGGAGATCGTTCTTGCCATGTTACCTCAGAAGAACAACCTTGAGAGATCGCGAGAACAGAGAACGTGTCCTGTAAGAAATGAGATGCTGCGTTCTTCCTGATAGTCACATGACCTTCATGCATTCTAAACAGAACATAGTTTAAATATTACAGCAATTTATTGTTATTCCCCTTCTCACAATATATATTATACATAGAGACCTTACAAATAAAAATTGCACAATACAAATAAAACTGATTTTAATATGATTTTCAGCTAATAAATACCCTTAATGTGTTTATGCCTTTATTAAAAATGTTTATGATGATGTTTACTTTCACCATTTTATTTAGGAAAACACCTGATACAAATAAGTTTTACATAGCTAACAACACACATTTTAACATGTTTGGATTTATCTTACAAATAATATTCTTGATTTAACAGTAAATTGGGTGACAAAGTTCAGTATTGCCAATCTTACATGCACACCTACATACCAGTTATGTGCATTCCTGTTTATACTGTAGTTTTGTCTTGATACAGAAACTTAGATAAAAACAAAACATTGATAGGTGATAATCATTTTTGATACCTCTGAGAAATATTGCTAAAGCATTGATTAAAAAACAAGATTTATGCATGTCTTTATTTCTTCATTTGAGTTAATAAAACAGATTTTATTTAACCACTTTTTTTAATTTATCAACATTACCAAGGCAAATAGTTTTAGTAGTCAAAAACTAAAAAAAAAAAAAAAATGTGGAATGGAATGGATAATGTAAAATATCAATAATAATGATACAGTAAATCTCAAACTCTGTAAACAAAACTGAGCTTTCAAGTGAAGGAACTAACCATCATTACTCAAATACATATTGCAACATTACAAATGGTGAAGTCGAATGCCTACATTACCCCCTATGCTAAAAAAAAAATTCAGATGGGGAGCTAGTTTCTCCAGAGGATGACAAATGGATAAACCATTGCTGCAGCTCCGATGCAAGTTTATGGAGAAAAGTAAAAAGCGCTGCAGTGTTTGGATGCGCTGTGTTTGTCTGAGGTAATTAGTCTACCATTACTGAAATGCGTATATTCTATACAAAGTGTGAAGCAGATTAGTTAGTTCTACTTGCATGAATCGCGGTGTGCTCTCGGCATCAAGAAAAATTCAAATGTTTTTAACTTGGTGCACTTGGAAAATGTGCATGCATCACGTGTGTGCCGCTTGCGCAACATGTGCATGTTGCACCCATACGTGCGTCATGCAAATCGCACGTCTCCATTGGAAATGACAAAACTACACCCTAAACTTATTGGCATTCCTTCCTTTTTATCGATATAGACAATGGTATTGAGTCAGTAAATATTAATACCAATTTTATCGCCCAGCCCTAATTTGTTGTGTTTCATTTCGAGTAAACATTGCACTGCGTAATTCTAATTTTGATATTACAGAAAAAAATCCTTTCTTACTTCTAGCCTAACTTGTTTGTTATTGATCTGTGTTAATGGCTGATACTGCTTTAAAATATTATTTCCTCAACTGCTTACAGTACTTCTCTTTAGACTGTTTTTTGTAAGTGTTGTGTTTTTGAGAATGTTGTGTTTTAAGAGTCGCTTTTATGTTACTTAATATATACTGTATATTTAGCCTAGCTGTTAAAACATATATTTTCAAAAATATTTAGATTCATCAAATTTATATTTTGCCAAACTTTATGCACTTAGAGAGAGAGAAAATATAAATTGAATACACCTTTATTTATTTCAAAATTTTAAGCCACAACATGTTTCATTGATTTAAAAAAAACACATTTCCAAATCGCATGTTTTCATAAAAAATGTGATTTTCAACACAACACAACATATTGCATTTTGTTACACTCCAAATGCCTTTAAAGTTGTTCAACTCCTTCATTTGATAAATAAAAATTAAAATCAAGCCCTTTTTAAGCCCTTTAAAAATCAGTTCAACTTTATAATTAGTCTCATACAAAATATTCTGCCTCCTACTAATGTATATCATCATTTTTCTTGTCCTAATATTACATTTAACAGATGCCCTTTGTCTTTGTAAACATCTCATCAACAGCAAGAAATAAAACCTCCAATAAATCTAATAGAGATCCCAGTCTTTTACAGTGCATAAAACAATGAAAAATTGTCTCTCTTTCATCACAAAAAGGACATTAATCTTGCACAGTTGGATTCAGGATTGAAATAGAGAAAGAGAGAAAGAGAGAGAAAGAGAGCAAGAGGAAACAAGCACATGGAGTATATCAGAGAGAGATTGTAGAAAAGTGAAATATTTTATTATTTAAACCTATTGAACATCTATATTTATTTGACAACACTGTGACTTTGTTTTCATGTAGCATATGTAATATTCATCCTATCCCTGTACGACAGATGTTCTGCACTCGGGTGTCATGCTGAAAAACAATTAGATATGATTTGGATTAGGACGTGTTTTCTACACCTGTTTGCAGATTGAGTTCCGTCTATTGAAGCTTAGCTGTGTAAGAAATGGAATCAGCGGTCCTCTTTTTTTCCTCTCTTTCTCTCTGCTGTCCCACAGGCAACCGCTGGAGATAAAGCATAATTGCAGTGTAATTCTCGACTCTGAGGGCTTTAGAAAAGGGGAAAAAATGCAGCAGACTAGATAATGCCAGCTGTTTGCTGTTGCACAGATGTTAAAGGCAGAGCACCTCTAAATGTACTCTGTCGCACTCTCAGTTTGGTCATCAGAGTGTGAGCTTGAGCACGTGTTCCCAAATGTCGGAATAATGAAAAATCATGCAGCTATGCTTTGTTTGTATATGTTGAAGCAAAATTATTAGACATCTTGTGAAAATTTTAAAATGCTGCTTAACAGAGTAAGACCATTTTTCACTGTATTTCCTATGATATTGTTTCTTTTGGAGAAAATTTTTTTAATTTAATTTAGCTGGAATATGTGTGGTGAAGCAGTGGTGCATTAGGTAGTGCTGTCGCCTCACAGCAAGAAGGTTGCTGGGTCGCTGGTTCGAGCCTCGGCTCAGTTGGCGTTTCTGTGTGGAGTTTGCGTGTCCCCCCTCTGTTCGCATGGGTTTCCTCCAGGTGCTCCGGTTTCCCCCACAATCCAAAGACATGGGGTACAGGTGAATTGGGTAGGCTAAATTGTCCGTAGTGTATGAGTGTGTGTGTGTAAATGTGTGTGTGAATGTTTCCCAGAGATTGGTTGCGGCTGGAAGGGCTTCCGCTGTTTGAAAAACTTGCTGGATAAGTTGGTGGTTTATTCTGTGGTGACATAGGATTAATAAAGGGACTAAGCCGACAAGAAAATGAATGAATGAATGAATAGAATATGTTTACATTTGCAGATATGTTTCATTGCTTTGTATGGGTTTAGCTATGTTTATTTATTTATTATTGGACTCACAGCAAGAAAGTTGCTGGGTCAACAAGAAAATAAATGAATGAATGTTTGAGGTTCCCATCATTCCCATGTACAGTGTTGGTGCCAGTATGCTTTGCTTTTAGTTTATGTCTCATCATATAATCAAAGATTCACATTTAAATGAATTAAATGATCATCTGATGAGACATAAACTAAAAGCAATACCCACTGGCACCTACAAAAACAAACAGCTATATATATATATATATATAACGAAAACAAGTGCATTGTTTTACACAGTTCATCCAACAAATCATACAAGTTCAGAACTGCCAAAACATATGTGCTGGCATGTTTTGGGTTCCCATCATGCAGTGGAAAATTTAGGATTGCTTTTATTGTTTTCCAGTTGTATTTGCTCTTGTTTTATTTGTTTCATTGTGATTTTTGTTGTCAGATGTAGTAACTTTCAGTTTTTTTTTTGATGAAAAATTAACTCAAGTTCATTTTCTTTTCAAAATGACCCATTTGTACACTGAAACTTTTTGTTTTAGCTGTGTGTATTGTGTCCCTGGTATTCAGATCTTTGTGTTCAGTTGGATAGCTCATTACTTCTGTTGTTTGTATGTGTTGACTTGTACTTCTTTGTTTGTTGACTTGTACTTCTTTGTTAGTTAATCGCAAAGCTGACTTGTACTTCTTTGTTTGTTGACTTGTACTTCTTTGTTAGTTAATCGCAAAGCTGATTTTATGTAAATTCATTTCTGAAATCTTTAAACATTTGATTACAAAAAACCTGCCAAACGTTTATTTTGACCAAATGTCATTTTCTGGAGGAAAAAAAAAAATATATATATATATATATATATATATATATATATATATATATATATATATATATATATATATATATATATATATATATATATTTTTTTTTTTTTTTTTTTAAATTCGCAAGAAATGTAACAAACCTTTTATGGTCTGCATTTTGTTAAAATTATTATTTTCTTTTTAAATAAGTACGTATTGGTCACTTCTAACAAAAAAATTCCATTAGTTAATGTTAGTTAATGTATTCACTAATATTAACAAAGAAAGAGCAATAATAGTACAGCATTTAATAATCATAATTCAACAGTTGTGATTGTTAACATTAGTTAATGCACTGTGAGTTAACAAGAACTAACAACAAACAGCTTTATATTTATTAATGTTTACAAAGAATAATAAATACTGAAATAAATGTATTGTTTATACTTATAAGTAAATACATTTACATTAAAACACTTTAGAATACTGGCAAAGAATGGAAGGATTTTCTTTTAGTGTTTCATGGATTTTGTACACAGTACTCCCATTCAAATATATCTGTTAGCCCATCTGTAACTAATGGAACCTTACTGTAGTATATTACCTATTTATTTTTTGTTTATGTGTGTGTCAGTTGACACACTGAGTCTGAGTATGACCTTATAGTCTGAACTTTTCAGATGGACTGCACTCAACTGGTTCATGCTTTATTATGTAATTTTTAGGTTAGACCTAAACAATGCCAGCAAACTGTTTTGATTAAAGTGAAAAATCACTGTAGAAAACAAGGAGCACATTTATGAAGGCAGAGTAGCATACAGATGCAAAGTTAATGGGCAGCCGTGAAATTTCCAGAAGTTTCCCTGCATAAAACGCCAGCTTATGCCACAACGAAGGCCCATGTTGGTATATGTTGCTAATAGACTGAAAGATGGTTAACCTTAGAAGGAAAGTCAACTGAAAAATTCAAATGCTCACATTTACTCAATATCAAGTGGTTCTTTTTCTGTTGTATCTGAGATTTTGAAGATTGTTAGAAACCTGAAGCCACTGACATTTAGTCCATTTAGCATTTTAATCAGATCTGATCAAGTCTAATCTGAAAGAAAATGCTCCATATAAACCATCATCATAATACAATAATAAAAATGCTCAAACTATCATAATAAAAATGCTCAAACCGAATCAAATTGTTGTTGGTTTGAGAGAGGTCAGATGAATCCTTTTCTATAAACTAAACAAAATAACATAAAACTGATTACATTGCACTTTACACAGCTTGGAATAGAGCATACACAGCTGTTTGTGGCGGTAATGAATATTAAAAATATAAATATATATGGTACATGCAAATTAGTACAAGGTGATTTTTTCCTGCTTTCTATCACTCACACAACAGCCTTTCTTTCAAAAGCACAAATCAAAGTCTTTAAATCTCATTATCACCTACAGCCATCTGCCTGGAGAGTTTTCATTTGGATGTATGGTATATAAGGATGTTTAAGAACTGTGGAGAGCTACCCAGATAATGAATCGATGATTTCATGAATTCATTTAGATTTTGAAACTTTGGCGCAGTAATGACTTGTTGATGTAAACAAGTTGGCAAACCAACTCTCTGACCACTGACCAGCAAGCAGCTAATCATGCAAGATTTTAGTTGCCACCAAAGTATTCCCCTGATAGACGTAAATGCAACACAATAGAAAACAATGACTGCTGTTTTCCAACATTCTTCAAAATATTTGTGTGTGTGTGTGTGTGTGTGTGTGTGTGTGTGTGTGTGTGTGTGTGTGTGTGTTTAATAGAACAAAGAAACTCAATCAAGTTTGGAAGAGGTGTAAATGATGACAGCTATTTTCTTTTTTTTGAGTGAACTAGTAGAGCTAGTTGACCTCACTGGTTAAACTAGATAAATGTAGTGGAGACATCAGCCTTCAGAATGCAACATATGTTTCTGTATAGCCAAGGTTGTTATTTTTCGTTTTCTTTGAAATTCTAAAATTGGTGTTACAGAAAAGAAACCAGAGCCAAATGTGATCAGCATTTTCTTTGGACTGAGAGGCCCAGGACCTGTGCTGCAGAGCTTCACGCTTTGGGGTTATGGGGTGCCGGGGAGCCAGAGTTTACAGTATATTTTTCAGTTACAGTCTAACGTTCTTAACACCTCATAAATTACACCTGCTGCGACGCCGCCGAGGCTCAGTGAGGGGAAGTGAAGTAAGCAGCAGTGCGATCTGAGCGGGATATTGCTTTTCCGTGACCCCCCTCTCTTTCCTTGAGCTGCCCTCATCTAGAATGTGAGGCCTTAAGACTGGATAAAGATTGTAGTCAAAAATAATAATAACAGTAATAATAAAACCTTCAGACCCCGTGGAAAGCTCACTCTGAGATCACTCTTAGTTCCCAGAAACTTGATTTGGTTTAGTCATATAAATTTTGTAATATAACTATCTACATAAGGCTAATTTATAAAAGCAAATACAGAAAATTAATTGAGACAGTTAAATGTGCCACGAATTACTATCTTATGTAAAGTTTTTATTTAAACTCTAATTTACATCTAATAATATTTTTGCATATACACTGTAATAAATAAATTGTTGAGAAAACATAAAAAAATAAGGCAACTTGATGCAGTAAGAACTTTGAGTTGTCTCAACAACTGTTTTTTAGTTCTTCTCAGTAACAATATTTAGTTGAGCTAACATAATTTTCTTTGTTCATGCAATATTGATTATAGTATTGTACTAATAAAGATATTCTTGTCACATCAATTTAAGCAACAGTAACTGCTATTGAGTCAATTAATTTTTTTCTGTTTAGTGGATGTTTTTTTTCAAATTTGCAAAATACGTAATTAGTACTAGTTAGCATACCATTCTGTTTTAATCATTCTACTTACAAATGACAAACACAAACTTACTACTTCTTCAATTTATTTCCACTGAAAGTAACAGATAAAAAGCTTTACAACAGGAAATAGCACAAACATTTGTAAATATTTTAAGATGAAAAGTGCTTCAAATTACAAACTTTGCAGTATACAGACTTTTCTGCTAATTTGCAGGCACATATGCTAGCTTTAACATTTTAACTGGAATAACAGCACAGAAATGAACAATTTAAAGATTGCATTTAACACAAACTAAATTTGCTTTGAATGCTTTTATGCACAAATTATAAACAAAAGGGTTGATTTGGACACCAGTTTCCATAAACATTTAAATCTAAATATTAAAATATAAACCTTTTAATTTTAAAATCTTTTACTGTGACTCTTTATAATAACTACACACTACGAATCATTAGCAAAGCATTAACAAATAGTTAATTATCTGTTAAGCATTAACTCTACATTATTAGAAGTTAGTAAGCACTTTATAAATACAGCTACAAATGCTGTTATAAGCTCAAAATGTGCTTAATGATTGTATTTCATACTTTGCTTTTTATTCATTGTTCCTCACTGAATTCAGTATTGCATTATTTACAAACCATTTGTATTTAAGTGTAGCTGGTGGTTTTTAAGATCATTTAGCATGAGTTAGTAAATTATTAATTTAACTATTCAAATTAACATTTATATATCTTATTATTCAGGCATATAGTAATGGTTACTATGTATGTTAATAAATGCTTTATTGACTCAAATTCATCCATTTTTGTGACCTAATCTAAAGTGAGACTATTTTTGCTTTATAAATCTCTTATAAATGACAATTAAAAGCTGGGTATCAAATGAACAATAAATGTTTGCAATCTAATATAAAAAAATAAAATTACTGTAAACTTTAAACATCGCCGAATAACAGAAATGTCAAAATACAATTAGCAATAAATACAATTGAATAAAATTGGATAAAACATTATATTATAATATAACATTTCAGTGTTATTTAACAAAGTTTAAACTGTACAGTAACTTCATTTTAGATAAGGTTCCAAAGATTTTTCTTTCATTTGATAGTTTCATTTGTGTTTCAATAAATAAATAGAAATGAATGAAAAAGTTCATGCTCTTTTTCCCTGTTCGGAATATAACTGAGCCTTTAATTGCCATTTAAAAGGGATTTATAAAGCAAAAATAGTCCTCACTTTAGGTCACAAAACTGGATGAAGTCGAGTTAATAAAGCATTTATTAATATATAAATAAACTAATAGTATATGCCTGAATAATAAGATATATGAACGTTATTTGAATAGTTTATTAATAATGTACTTTCACATTCTGAATGATTTGGAAAAAAACACTACCTATTCTTAAATAACTGGTTTGTAAATAATGCAATACTTATGTAATGAAAAAAAGAATCATTAACAAAGTATGAATATGCAATTAATTACAATTTAAGAATATAGCATTTGTGGCTGTATTTATAAAGTGCTTATTAATGCCTATTAGAGTTAATACTTAACAAATAATGAACTATTTGCTAATGCTTAACAAATGATTCATAGTGTGTAGTTATTATGAAGTGTTACCCATTTAACTGAACACAGTGCCTAAACAGTGGCTCTCATGAATCAGATTTAGTACTCAAATTGTACATTAGGTCTTTGTAACATCAGACCATTGACACAACACTGTTTACAGTATTAGTTTAACATCTTGTTTTTAAGAGAAAGCACACGTTGCGTACATCCAGTCCCAAGCTCCATGAAAACATTCTGAATTGTGTCAAAAGTGTACCGGAGTTCTTTGGGATAGGAAAAGTTGAGTGCATAAAGAAGGCCAAAGAGGTATGCTACAGCACTTGAGGTATCTGGAATGTCTTCCAAAACAACTACCTCTTCCAGTACAACAGCAATGTTCTGGATCACTGGTGATGCTGCCCGGGAGTCATCTTCCGTAACATAGAGAATGCCAACTGATACGCCCTTTGTTCCATCTTCAGTTTCCTATGAAAACACAATAAGAATATTTGAGCATAGAAAGTCATTATAGTATTTTATCTACAAACAAGCAAGATATTATATTGCAAGTAGGGCTGTCATGCTTATGAATTTTAGGTGACGATTAATTGTCAAATAAAATATTTTGCTTAATGGTGATTATAGAGATTTAAAAAAATTAGCAAGTACTTGTTTATTATAGGGCTATAACAACACACACATTTAAATAATTGTAACAGTTATTTATTCAGTTAAAAATATATACCGTTATCTTTCAGAAATATGAACATTCTGTAAAAATAACAAACCAGCATAATACAACGACCATGCAAACTTAATTGCAGTTAAGCAAAATGACCAGTTACATCAAATAGTTATGATCATAAAACTGCTGTGTAGTTTGTCTGTAGGAAGACATAGTGTTATAATTCAAATCATTAAGCAAAAGTGAATGTAACAATTAAACAGACAACATGTAAATAACAAGGAGCCCAGATCTACAAACGCATAAATCATCAGGATTTATATGCAACATTAATGCAGTAATTGGAGTTTAAATATTTTAAGTGATTTATTTTAAAATACTGTCATAAATGAATAAATAAATAAATGCTGATATGTTGTACTCTGAATACAACAGCTGCCATTTTGGTTGACAAGAATAATGTCTTAAGACTCTTGGCACAACTCTAATTTTATGTAATAACAGACAAAGCAACAGTTTCTCTTAAATCTCTTTTACATGTTCTTTCCCTTAACTACCTGCATAAATCAGTGAGCAGGTCTCACTAAACTGGTACTAATATAGAACCTGATATCAATCTTTTAAAAATAACAAGATACTTGTGAATCATGAAATTTACAAGACACGTTTATATACGTAAATTTACTTCTTATACCTTAAGGTCAGAAGATTTGTAATTTCTGTTAATGATACCTAAATTAAACATTTTAACTCAGCTAATCAAAAGTTTTCATGAAAGCTCCAAATAAATTGGCACTCAACTTTTCAAGACACCAACAATACAGAAGCAAGTTTGGACACTCATGCTTTAAACCATTTAAAGTGTTTGATACCTACTTTACATTTCTTGAAAAGGTTAGTTTGTTTCTCTCGAAGAAACAAAGGCAGGCCCTCCAAAGCAGCAGTCCTTCTGTGATTAACAATTTCTGTTGTCTGCAAAAACATAAAAAAGATACAACCAAAAAGTCACAGAATGAAAACTGAAATATCATCAACTACATAGATCAAAAACATGTAAATAATGAAAATTATTAACTTGCCCTTTCATCAAGTCTTTCCAGGAGCTCTTCCATTTCATGTCCAAACGCTCCTTTTCTGGCTCTGTATAATTTCAGAAGCTTTGGTGTGTACTTGTCAGTGGCTGCCATGAAGACTCCTAGAAGGTCTTTGTTGGTGATGCGGAAAAATTCCTCACAGATCTTTTTAAAACAAACCAACCAGATTTACAGCAATCATTTTTTTTCTGTAAACAGAGCATCTTGCATTCTGTAAACTTAAAGCCTAATAAGAAAGAAAAAAAATCTCTTTACCTGTTCTTGAAAAAAGAGTGCAGGCCACCTCTCCTGAACCTCTACAATCATTGGCTGCTCTTGGACCATTTCTTTTCTTCTAAGGGAAAATGTTAGTTCCATTTTTTCCCTTATGGCTGCCATGTCTCTTCTGCATTAACTTCTTTACGTTTCAGATGATTTTGTAGGTGAAGAAAAAATCTTTTTTCAGTACAAATCTCATGAAATTCACATAGTCCACAATTAAAAGTTGAAAGATCTCGACTGACTCTATCAGTGTTGTGGTGTGATTTAGATGGGATCGTAAAGTACCTGCAGTTTTAAAAGCACAAACACACTGCGTGTAAAGACAGGGCCAGTTGGAAATTCTATGATGATGTAGCTGATAGTGCTTCAGAAGGACATCTTCACTTGAAGTGCTGAATTTGCAGTTTTTACACTGCATGAAGTCTTGAGGAGATCATCCTGAAAAAAGAAATAATCAGTTATAACCTTGTATTGTTAAATCACAACTTTAAATAAAATATAATTCTTACAAAAATATATTTGAAAAAGCTTCACATTTAAAAGTCTTAAACATTTTTCAAGTTTATGCCCCCATATTTTAACATGAAACATGTTTGGGAGCAGACAATGATATTAATATCAATATATGATATTGATGTATACAGAGGAGTCTACAAATAATGTAATATAGTTAGTAATAATATATGCTTTGAAATTAAGACTATTTTAAACCTAATAGGAACTATTTATATTAATTTGACAGGATTAAATAATGTTTTAGGCAATATTTTATAAATAAAAAATATAAACTACATTTACATATTACTTTATCTAATATAATCTGAATATCCATGCTTAATATATGCGTCACAAATTTATAAGTACAACTCGCTCTTACTGATGGGAAGTTCGGATCATATTACTAATTTGGACCTTTGAGTCTCGTTCGTTGAGATAAACAAATCTTTTTTACAAGTCATTTCCATCAATTTGCCAAAATATTATTAAAATGATACAAGTTATTCCAAACGCATCCACAACTAGCCCAGACGTTGATCACACTACAAACAAGTCATAACTTGAATGCTATAAGAAAAAGAAAATAATCGTTTGTTTACCTAGTCTTTTGTCTATGATTATGTGAGCTCAGCTATTCTGACAGGTCTTCAAATTTGAGGGGTTCGTCTACGTCACACAGACAGACCCATATAAGCTTAACCAAAGCACAGTCTGAACCGAAAGGAGCCAATAGGTGCGTTCGACTTCATGCAGCGCTGCGCAGATCGATCGAAATCTGTCTTAAAGCGGTGCATTCTGGTTAGAAATCTTGTCCGGATTGATGCTGCGCCGACGCCACGTGACTGTCACATGTGGCATCAAAGTACCGCGACAGCGCTCCGAGATCAGACGGCAAACTCAGACCGTGCAGCTTCTGAAGAGCGACTGCAGGAGCTTTGATGACGACACCGATATTACACGATTGGCCGAGTTCACCACATGACAACAAACACGTGTATTTCGGGTTTATAATTGGACAAATTCCGATTCAAAAGTTTCAAAACAAACAATTCACTTTTCACACCCTCTCTATCCTGTACACATCTTGCTTATTAAAAGACTACAAATATTTTACTGCAGTATCATCTTTTGTTAAATAATCTGGTTATAAAGGTTAGCTTGTTTGCACAGGTTTATTTTTTAACTTTTTTATACAGACTATTTACTGCATTTATCTCCATGAACGATTTAAATGATATATTTTAGTGTATATTTTAGTGAATAACCTAAATATGAACTCAAATAAGTCTTACAGACTTGAAATAAGAAAATCATCATCATTGATCCTGCCACCCTAAAGCTCTCTTAACAAATTAAAGTAAAGAACTATTTTATTAAATAATTATAAAATGGCTTTATTATTATAATATAAATATATATTTTATTTTCTGTCTAGCAGTTTAAAGGCTACCTGCTCTTTCTGGGAAACTTCTACATAGCTCACTTATTTTACCTTTTGTTCTTTTCAACACAATCTTTTTGGATTAAAATGCTTTTTTGAAAATTCATTTATCATCCAAAATAATGTCATTTATTAAGACCTAATCAAAACACCTTGTTTTGCTTTTTACATGGGAAATTTTTATATCTATAAATGTACATATATGTAAACCCTTTTTTAGCAGATTCAAACAAGAAGTATTAGCCTAAAGATTGATGTTAACTCCTAGAATTTATGCTTATTGCTTTGTATTTAATAGACCTGTTCGTTTTTATGTTTATATTAACCTCTCATTTCCTCTTATTTCTCTCATGCATTTGTTATATATTTTATTCATAATTCTCTCTTATTGTTTAAAAAGGAACTACAGTTTGAAGAGCCTGTATTCTGTTTTATTTGTAAATGTTTTGTTGTTATAAATAAAAAAAATAAAAAAATATATATATGATGACGCCATGTGATCGGTCATCATGACTGCAGCAACTTTGAGTCCCGAAGTGTCCAGCTGTCCGTCTTGACGGCTCCGTTTTCAACTCCGCCCCGCCTGCGCTCGGCTAATCTCGTTGATCACCGGCTGCAGCTGAGCTTCATGTCGAACGCACCTATTAGTTCACCTTTCGAGTCATCTGGTTTTCGACTCGTTCGTTCATCACGTGACAGCATGTTAAGAGAGATGACTCAACGCCGAGGACTCGAAAGATGATTTAAAAAATTTTCCGGCTCTGATTACATTCCATTGCCTTATGTCTTTAAATTGATGAACGAATGACATAAACCCGATAGAGGACTCGAAAAATGAACTAATCTTTTCCTCCACCTGCACAAATGTGCGCATGCGCGAGTGAACAAATCACTCCCAGAGAGGACTCGTCGTTCTCGAGTCATACAAAAGATTCGTTCAAAATGAACGAATCGTTCAAGAACGACCCATCACTAGGCGGTGCACACACGGAGAGAAGCACGTAAAATGAGAAAAATGTGAAAACTCGCTAGAGAAATGAAAACGTTTCGCCTAAAAACAAACAAAACCTCTGAATTCCCTAACGTAAATGTGTTAATACTATGGTCCCAAGTTAGCCATCTTTTATCAGTGATTAACAGTTAAGCATAAAGATGTCATTTTAGTGTTAACATGAAACATTTTAAACTTAGACGGCACAGAAAAGCAGTTTCCGTTTTCTTCCCAAGTAATGTCTTAAGGAGCGGCACAAGCTTAACTGGCGTTAGGCAAACGACTGTGCCGACCTCACGGTCCTCCGCCCTCTCGAAGGTGCGGGCGTGGGCGGGAAGGATGTCGCGCGGGGTCTCCATGCCTCCCTGAGCGATTAACTCTGCCTAAATCCGCCACTCATGTCATGAATACACGGAAACATTTATGAGTTTGGACTTAGCTGAAACTATATGCCACATTAATTACCCACTGCATTTGAAACTTAAGCATATGCAATAATTCTCGTCGCTAAAAACAAACCGTCAGGTAGTGAATATAGTAAAATTCATTGCATGCATAGAATTTGTGTTAATAAGTGTTGTTACTCACCTATAGGAACAAGTTAATGTTTAGTTCTTCGAAGAGTCGAAAATATCTGTGAAGTCCGATATGGCATTGGCACCAAGACAAAATGGAGCTGAAGAGCGAAACGAATGGTCAATATGGGGGAGGGTTGGCGCCGTTTTCAAACGTCGCGTCACGCATGCGCAACTTATTTAAATATCAACATACCTGTTCAACACAAAAATGTATGTCCAGAAAACTCTGGTAAACATGTAGACATAACATTTTAGCGAATATTATTGACATAACATATATTTTTATGTAGATCAGTAGTTATTCACAATTCTTAGTATATATGACAGAAAAAGTACAGTGTGCTGAACAAATCGAGATTTTATTTTTTACAGTGTACATTCATTGTATAGTTTAGATACATACAGTGGGGGGAATAAGTCATAATTTGTTTCAGAAAATGTATTTCCAAAAGTGCTCGGACTTGAAATTATCACCAGATGTTGACATCTACCAAATAAATACAAATATGAAAAGAAAACAAATCTAATTAGTTTAAAAATAAAGATTTGTGTATTAAACGAAGTGACACTAGAAAAAAGCATTGAACACATGAAGAAAGAAATGTGTAGAAAGGCAGTAAAAGCCCAGACAGCAGCTGAAATCACTATATATAACAAAAATTACTATATTATGTATGTATTTGTTTCTAATTATTTTATTTAGCATATTGTATTATTTTTTATATTTTTAGTCTGAATTATTAAACCCCCCCCCCCCCCCCCCCCACCCGCCACCCAGTATAATTTCTGTTTAACGGAGAGCAGATTTTTTTCTACACAATTCTAAACAGAATAGTTCTAATAACTATTTTTAATAACTGATTTACTTTAACTTTGCCATGATGACAGTAAATAATATTTGACTGGATATTTTTCAAGACACTTTTATACAGCTTAAAGTGACATTTAAAGGCTTAACTAGGGTGATTAGGTTAACCAGGCAGGATAAAGTAATTAGGCAAGTTATTGTATAACAATGGTTTGTTCTGTAGACTATTGAAAAAATATTTAGCTTAAAGGGGCTAATAATTTTGACCCTAAAATGTTTATTAATGTTTAATGTTTATCAATATCTACACGCATATATTTATTATAGTATTAAAATAATTCATGTAGCACCCCTGAAGGAGATTATAGTATAACACTTCCCTTGACACTTTTTCCAAATTAATTAATTAATTAATTAATTAATTAATTAATTTATTTATTTATTTTGATCCAGCTTCATCCAGTTGCTTTCATCTTCCTCCACTTTACTCTGAAATCTGTAATCCACCAGGGTTTTGTTTTCCATCCACTACACTGCATTATCTGTGCAGCATCTCTTCCTGTGTTCATCTTGGAGAATCTTACGCTACAGCACCAGTCTAAACCTTTACACCCTCCCCCCAACTAAAGCTGAAACACTAAAAATGACAAGGCGTGCAGAACGAAAAGTACAGTACGTACTGTCCTGGGGCCCTCGGTTCTTGAAAGTATGCAGCGCGGCAACGTTTCTGACACAGGCCTGTGTGCTTAAACCTTCTACACACTTCATTCACAGTCTCTGTAATGTGCCCCTTCTGCCTTAGTGGATGGTTTCCTGGAAGAAAAGAAAATAATAATAATAATAATAAAAGATCCATAGAGTGTCTGGACATGCTGAATCTCACCCCCATATGCTCAGGTTTTCTTACAGTCTGTTAATTTGGGACATTGGGTAAATAGAGCGAAGGGAAAAGTAAGTGTCCTGTTGCTTGACACTTGCCTCCCACATGGCAGCATTAACAATGTTTATTTAAGCGTTTTAAGTTATGCTTACTACACTTAGACATATTTTTGACAAAATGTCTAAAGGATTTAATCCTTATTTTTAGCAAGAACGCCCACTTAGACTGAAGGAGACATTTAAAATATGTAACCAATTATTTAAATGTGTGTTTAGGGAAGAGGGTAGCTGAAATCAGGTGTACAGGTGAATAAAAAAAGCCAAAAAAGACATTCAGAGAAGAAAAAATATCACAAAATATGGAAAAATGTTGTTGATTTAAATATATATATATATACAGTTGAAGTCAGAATTATTAGCCCCCCTTTGATTTTTTTTCTTTTTTTAAATATTTCCTAAATAATGTTTAACAGAGCAAGAACATTTTCACAGTATGTCTGATAATATTTTTTCTTCTGGAGAATGTCTT